CATGGTAAAAAAGAAAAAAGAAAGGAGGAAGGTATGGAGGGCAACCATGGATGCCAGGGAAAAAGGGGGGGGGAAGTGGGACATAGCAGAGGGTGGGGGATGGGGAATCAGGGATGGCAAGACAAAGGGCAAGGTATGCAGGACGTAAGAATTGGAAAATTATTTGCTGAGAACATATATGTGGATGTACTTGATTGAGACAATGCACAGTGTATTTTGGATGGAAAATTCATTTGTGTGTTGTGATGGTGTAAAGTGAATTAATAAATAAAAAAAATATATGATGGGATTAGTGCAAAGAAACCCTGTTGCCTCCATGTGTGACTCAGAGAAAAGAGACAGTTGCTAGGAGTTATGAGAACAAAACAAGAGGCATCACTGGGCACATTGATTAATAAAATGCATGAAGAGTGAAGAAAAAGAAACACTTTTACATTGCATTTATCTCTTATTGCTGTTCCAACAAATTACTGAGTCTAGTGGCTTAAAAAAGACAAATCAATTAAATTAAAGTTTTGGAAGTCAGAAGTCTAGGTGGGTCTCAACAGCTGAAATCAGGTTGTCAGCAGGGCTACATTCTCCCTACCAGCCCTGCAGGACATTCTCCTTTCCTGCCTTTTCCAGTTTCTCAAGGTAGTCCACATTCCCTGGCTTGTGGCCATTTCCTCAATCTTTTTAGCCAACAGCAGTATATTTCACTTAGATGGTGGCCAGAAAAACTTCTTTGTTTTCAGGAACACATGTTGTTTGATTGGGCCCACCTGGATAATTAAGGTTTCTCCTCCATCTCAAGATTCTTAATCACATCTGCAATGTCCATTTTACCACATAAGATAAAATATTCACAGCTTCTAGGTCTTTGAGAGTCCATTATTCTGCCTACTACTTACATAAACAGGATCTAGTAGGGAAGGTGAAAAATGAGGATAGTGGGGAAAGATGGAGGGAACTACTAGGGAGGACAAGATAAACAGAATTGTTAAGAACTAAAATGGGTCAAACTAGAGGCAGATTCCTCCCTTTTGTGTGGGACTTGAGATTAAGCAAAATTTTAAAGCTCTTTAAGAAAGAGAATATAAAATTATCAATAAAATTTGCTAAGCTCCCTCCCAGCATACAGAAAGAGGTCACTACACAAAGGGTCCTGGAAGCATAGGTTTCACAAGTGTCACAGTAAAATGTGTGTGTGTGTGTTTTCTGTGGAGAGAGTGGCTGTCAGAAAGTAGAGAATGCCTGAAGTTTCCTTTTTGGATATTTGGGCAGTCATTCACAATCATTGTTCAGATCTATTAATTCATTAGGGCTTGCAAAGTGATGGCATTTTATCATCTTACCTTCATTTATTATCTTCTCAAAAGGGGTATTTTCCTACTATTTGGTTACCTGAAAAAACAATTCATACAAAAAAAAATAAAACAGTACAAATAATGTTTAAACCTTTTTTAAAAAAAGATCACCAGTTTTCAAAATGCAAATGAGATGAGTGATGAAGCAAGACTTAGTAATAATAGGGTGAGGGGTATGGTATGGCTCTAAGAAAATTGTTCCATATATAAGTATTAAAAAAGAGGAAAAAACACTGTGCATTCCTGATGGTTGAATAAATAAGGCATTTTCTTTCTTTTTCTTTATGTATTTATTTTTATACTCCAACACTGAGCGATCTCATCATTCTCTACTCCTAAAGCCACCATCAGCAGAAAGCAAATGGATATTCTTTTAGCTTCAGGATTACTTGGGAAGAGTGTTCAGAACTGTCACAGAGGAAACAGTCTAGATATTAGTCTTTTTAATTTTTTTAAGGTTTTTGCCATAGCAGGCATGTACTTGCTGGAGAGAGTCAGAGAGAGACAGTGAAAGGGAAAGTGAGAAATCACCCCTTTGGGGGATGGACATGCTGCAATCTCTTATCTTCCATTCTTCTCCTGGGATTTTGGGTATGCATGCACATGCACCTGAGTTCCAAAGCCAGATCTGGGACTTGAACTATGGTCGGCCATGTGGGAGTCTAATGTCTTAATCACTACACTACCTGCTGGCCCCTATATTAGTCTTTCGAGATGAAAATGAGAGGAGTCACAGCTTCAGGTTAAAAGGTTGGCACATACATTAGGATAAAGGGCATAAGACTTTCTTTTCCAAGATAACCTCGAAGTGCTAGGATTTCCGTTTTCTGTATGTGTTAAGAGCAGAGATTCCAGAACAAGTATTCTGGGTTCAAATGCCAACTTCTCTGTTTGTGAACTGGGGCTGAACATCTGTATGCTTCTGTATCTTCATCTATAAATAATAGTTCTTAATTCCTAGGGTTTTTGTGACCATAGATGAGTTTGTAAAGATAAAACACTTTTTTAAAAAAAATGAAATATTTATTTATTAATTATTATTGTTATTTTAATTTGACTAGAGAAAGAGAGAGATGGAAAGTGAGAAAGCAAGCTGCCAGGTCAGGAACTCAAAACTTGGTCGTTCATGTGGGAGTCCAATGCCTTAACCACCACACAACCTTCTGGTCCCAAGATTAAACACTTAGGATGGTGTCTGAAATACTGCAAGTGCTGTGTGTTTACAGCATTTAATTTGTAATAATAATAAAATAATAATAATGATATGGCAATGTAATTCCATTTTTATGTATCTTTCTTCCACATTAAAACTACTGAATTAAAACTACTCCTTCAATACACCCTGAATTGTGTACCAAGATGTCTCAGTGAGTTTTAAAGGGGCTGCTTATCAGTATCCTAGGGTAGGGCATGTACCTGATGTACAGAAATATCTATAAGGAAAGTATTTGGGGTAGGGGTATTGAGGATGAGGATTAGAAGAAAGTGGGAGAATTTTATGTATGAAAATATAGAAGAAGAAAATGTGGAGCTTATAAAATGTGGAATAAAAAAAATGTAGAGGAATTCTTCTGAGAATGGTCTCAAACTCAGGAAGTTTTTAGTGAGAGCGAGGGAGGGGAACCAGCTCTAGGTTTTCCATCATGGGGTTGAAAAGCTGTAGTGTTAGATATGGAAATCATGTTTCAAGAAGTGGCTCTTCGTAACGGGGCTGTGCTCCTCTAAAGCATGGCCTCACAGCTGACTTTTAAGAGGTCTTTGGAGAATTCCATTTTGACACTAGTTTTTAATAATATCTGGATGAAAGGGTAAAAGACCAAGGCAGTGCCACAAGGGGGTATTAACAGTGATATTTAAAAAGGACAAAAAGAAGGTCTTAACAAATGGAGGCAGTAGCCCCTGATTCAGAGATGATTACCCCCTCTGTTAGTTCTGCAGAAAGACAAGAGAATAAGGGGACAGTGGGATGTAGACAGTATACCCCATTGTTCCTGCCCTTCTTTCTGCAGCCTCGCCTTGCCTCAACTGGAGCCAGATCTGCTCAGAGCTGACTGTCAGATCCACAATCTCAGCTTGCTTGTATTAGGAGCTTGGAATTTCACTCATAGATGAAAATTGATTTAGTTTTGGGTGAGTCTTAGATATTACTGGCAGATAAAACTCCTGCCAGCCCAGTCCATTGGTTTGGAAGTCTGCTTCAGTGTCCTTGTCTTTTGCCATAGCTATTACTTTGCAGAGGGGCTAACTCTTTATCTAGCCCTTGCCCAAATTTGCCCTGAGTGATGACCCTCATCTCCAAAATTTTGGCTGCTGACTTTAATTCTTCTGGGGGTGCAATGCTTTCCTGGAACCAAATGTCACTGTGTAGCAGGCCTTGATCTCCTGTCTGTGTTTATAGGAACTTGCCAAGCCATCGGAGACATACTTTTCCAAACATTAAAGTGGCTGACCTAACCTAACAATGAGAGGCGCTCTTCAACCTGAATACTTTTGTCCCTGAAACTCATAGCCTTTCCTCTTCAGTACCTGCTCCACCTTCCCATTCAGATGTGATGCCTATTTGTTATTTATTGCTCTGGACTTGAAAAATTTAATCTTCATTTGCTTTCTGTTCTTCCTGAAAACCCAGAAGGCAAATGTAAATTTTATTTCCTCCATTCTTCACAGTCAAAGAGTTCTAAGGTCATATGCTACTCCTTCCCTCTGATTTGTTCCAAGCTACTAGAAAAGAATGTGGTATCTAGTGAGTGTTTGCTGCATGAGTGCATGATTGAGTAAATATGTTAGAGAGGTTAAGGGAGTTGATGGGAAATCTATTTGGTTAATAGATCCGAAAAACAAAACAAAACAAAACAAAAACCCAAAAGGAAAAAGATAGACTAAAACTTCAAAAACCAAAACCAAAATGCAAACAAACAAAAATAAAACAAAGAAAATCATGACTTATGTTATTTCCAGACTTCAACTTAAGAACATGCTGCTGCCTCCCTCTCTTATATCAGTTGTCCAAAAATTTGGAAAGATATTTAACAATAACTTTAAAATCTAAATAGCAACTCCTGAAGCACAGAGAACACTGACATCCAAAAGACCATCTTCCCAAATATGTACCCCATGATCTAAGTCCTACTTCTTTCCCCTCAAACTCATGCTCCACAATTTATCTTTATTGAGTACTTCCTCTTTCTTCCATCCCTGCATGGAGGAAAAACACAATGAGCAGTGAGAGTTCATTCAGGGAGTCTTGGCCTAGTCTAGGGATAAAAGGAATGGTAAGCCATAGAAAGAAGGTGTCCAGGAGTATTTCATGGGGAAAGCAGAAGCAAGGACCCTGGGTTAAGGAGAATCATGTCAGCGAATTTGAGTACATAGTGAGTGTGGCCATGCCAAAATCACTTCTCCATTTCTCCTTTCAGGATTTTGGGCACTTATCCACACGTGCTGGCATGTTTCTCAAGCAGCATAGTCCAGTACTCAAGCTACATACACATTCATTATGTAGGATCCAGCTGCTCAACCATCACAATACCGGCTGGCCTAAGGAAAGAATGTTTAGAAGTGGTTGAGTTGGGGGCTCATGGAGAAGACTGAAAGATGAAATCAGAGGGAAAAAAGGTAAGATTTCTGAGTACCTTGCATGCCATGATAAGAAGTTTGAACTTTATTCCACAGGCAACAGGGAGCCATTGAAAGGTTTAAGCCTGGAGTGATTTGCATATTAGAAAGGTCACTCTGACAGAGTATGGAGGATAGAGAGGGAGAAAGTGGGGTCAGTGAGACCTGCTACTGGAGTGTGGCAGTTGTCTCAGTGTGGAATAATAAGTGTCAGAATTAAGGCAGTAACATAGGAGATTGAGGGAAGAGCAGAATTCAGTGACATTAAGAAGTCAGAATGCATTGCCTGAGAGTGGATTGGACATGGCAGTGACACCATGCAGTCTGGTGGACAGAAGCGTTTTGAGGAGGAAGATCATTTAGTCGGTTAAAAAGTTACAGGTAAAACATTGTGCTAAGACATAGAAATAAATAATGAATAAGAAAGATGCTCCCTGTCCTTATGGAACTCAGAATCTAGTGGAAGAGACAGAAATGAAGTAAACAAGTATATTCATTAATCATGACTTGGAAGTTCCATGGAAGAAAGGAATAGGCATGTAATAAAGGATAACAAGGTAGAGAAATAAATGGTCTATTTTAGCTGGGCTGTTTAGAGAAAGCTCTTGGAGGAGGTGACATTTAAGTTAATATCTGATGAATGAGAAATAAGCAGGAAAGGGACATTCCAGGTACAGAGAAGAGCAGACACAAAGTCACTGAAGACAGAAAGTGCTTGGCTTGTTTAAGAAACAGGAAAAAGGTTGTTTCAGCTACTGTGAATTGAGTCAGAGATAGGGAAAACCTAAGAGGTCTGCAAGGGTTGGATCATTGAAAACACAGCATTTGGAGGGTAGCAAGTTGTTATGCTTAGTTGCAAAACAAGGAGTTTAGTATCTCTGTGTGTTACTTGACCAGCTTCAATTCTCAATTTTAGTGGATGATACCATCAGGCATTAGAGTTTGAGGAGCCTGATAAAAGTAATAAACATTATAAATACTATCTTTAACAGATATGAGGGATTTACTTATGAGAAAATCTGAGTTTAGTAGGGAAGAGTCACTGGAAACTTGGGAGAAAACAGACATTTCTTCTTTGGAATAGAAACTTGTGTCCAGGATCTGGAATGTGGGACTGAGTAGCACCAGCTGCAGCTGTGATAATCACTTGCATGCATACTGTATTTGTGTCCCTTATGAGAGCCATACTCAGTCATAAGTATGGGTTGGATCTGAAGAAAGTCAGAGAGTTGCCAATAAATAGGTAAAATTATCATACACAGGTTAGAAGTAATTAACAATAATGATTAATTAGTGAAATTATTAATTATTATTAATAATTAATATTTTAAAAGATGGGATGGTAGTTAAGGTACTGGACACTCACGTGGCAAACTGTGGTTTGAGTCCTGGACCTGGAAACTTGCTTTCCCATTCTGCTTCTCCTTCTTTCTTTCTGGTCAAATTGAAGAAGAAGAATAAATAAATAAATAATTTAAACATTTTAAAATTAATTTATTTAGTTGAATTTTTTCAGAGAGGGACAGAGAGAAAGAGAGAGAGAGAGAGAGAGAGAGAGAAAGCAAGCCACCAGGTCCCAGACTCAAACCGCAGTTGGCCATGTGGGAGTCCAGTACCCTTAACCACCACACCACCTTCTGGTCCCATTAATTTAAAAAAATTTTAAAAGACGATAAAATGGTCACATTGGTGTGAACAGCTTGTATGCAGAAGAAGACATCAGGATAGAGGTTGGTATGCAAGATGTTTATTAAAGATGGACTCCTGTGAAAGATAGAGGAAGAGCAGAATTGGGAAGAGAGAGGAATCACCCTATCACATGCTTTTGACAAAGTCTTGATGAACCCAGCAGGAGGCTTGGAGTGAGTATTGTACATTTGAGTATAATTTATTAGTCTCAAATGGTCAAGCTTTTATTTTTCACCCTTGGTCACTGGATATGGCTGCTCTAGGTAGGGGGAATTTGAAGCGTGACAGCTTGCTACAGCTGAGGCAGATCCCAAAAGAAACAGATAGTTGGAAGTCTTCACTGACAGTGTTTTTTAAAGCTAAATGACAAGTCTCTCCTTGAAGAGGGATATAGATGAAGCAGCTTTGTGTCTAGTAAGCATCAAAGAAGTGGATTATTAAAGACTTAATATAAGCCTTTGTAAGCTCTCTGAGCAATTTTTCCATTCATAAAATGTGAAAACCGTATTTGTAAATGTATCTAACGTTTCTCTGACTGGTACTTGTTCTTATTAGAGAAGCAATAGGTCTAGATTATTGAAATCACTTTACAGTCAGTGTCTTAAAATATATAAAAAGACCTCAATGCAGAGTCTAATATTAACCCTCCCAAATCCCTATTCAAATACCACAAAGCACTCTTCTACCTACAGGGGAAGAGTTCAGCTAAACAAGAAAATGATTTTGACTTTCTTGGAGCTCTTAGGTACCTAGAGGAGATGGGGAAGAGAGAGGAAGGATGTGAGCTTTTCTTTTGTAGGTAGGTGAAATGCTTATCAAGAAAATAACAGTAGTCACAGTGGTTTTTGTGGCCCTGATTTCCATTGTAGGTGACAGGGTACCAAAATTCAGGATTCTGAGAGTATCCTTCTAGATAGTTAAAAGACAGATTTCCCAACCTGGGTCAAAGACTCATAAATACAATCCTGTGAAATCCATTTTTCACTTATCTATTTTCTTTTCACCCTTTGCTAATTTTGTCTCGCAGAACTTAGTGATATTACGGGCAAAGTCTATATGGAGTGATATCATTGGGAACACACTGGAAATTTCACCTGGTCATAGTAAGTCAACCACAATACCCACTGGCTATGATGCAGTGCAGGCACTGGATTGGTTCTGCCACTGTTTCAACCTGTCTGTTTCGACTCAGCCGATCCTTCTGCCTGATGGGTGTCTGCATGCAAGTAGAATTGGTAAAATGACTGTGAGTGTGATTGTGAGTATGCTTGTGGTGAGGAGGGGAGGGGACAATTACTGGAAATGTGGGTGTTGTAAAAGACAAACAGCGTTGGAAGGAATTGGCTTTGATAATTCTTGAAAATGGATGGGCAGAAGAACATCTTTGGAAATGCTGGACACTTCTAGAATCCTGTTAAAATAATCTCTTTTCTTTTTCTTTTCTTCTCACATCCTTCAAGTACAGGGCATGAGATTGCAATTATTTCTACTCTGAAGCTGTTGTGGAAGAATGATTGATATGTGTGACATCTGAACAATGATTTTTATTTAAATTTTCCCCAGTAAACATATTCAGAGCACTTATGAACAAATTTTAAAAGTTGAAAAAAACTAATTTTTTAAAGATTACTGACTGGTTAGAGAGAACACACACTTACAAGCAAGATGACAATAGCAGCAAAAGCAAACCAAATTATTTCTTTAGGTATAGTTATTGCACTGTGTTTGTTTATGTGTATGTGCGTGCATGTGTGTGTGTGAAGTCAAATATATCTAGTATTATACAAAGAGAAAAGTTAAAAGAATTAGAAAATGATTTCTAATTGTCATTTGGATGTATATCCACTATGAGATTATTAGATCACAAAGTAATTCTCAGTATATTGAAGATATATCTCCACTTCCTTGTTTTGCAGTATTATTTGCAATAACTAAAATATAGAATGAACCTAAGTACATAATAACTAATGGATGCATATAATGGAATACTACTTGGTCATTAAAAAGGACAAATTCTAGTCATTCAATGCAAAATGAATGAACATAGAAGAAATAACGCTAAGTGAAATAAGGCTTTGAAAGGAAGACAAAAACTGTCCTGTATGTTGTGATTTAACAACTATTGTATGTTTTCATTTTTTAACAGAAGCTAAAAGACTCAATTGCATAGATATAGAGGGTCTAACACTGGATACCAGAGTCTGGAAAGGAAAGGGCAGAGTGGAGGATGGGAAGAATTTAGGTAACAGATACAAGAGAGTAAGTAAACAAAGGAATGGGTTATAGAATACTACAGCACAATAGAGTAAACAACATTGGTAAGAATTTAACTTTGATTTCCAAATAGCCAGTAGAGCAAATTTCAAATGTGACACAAAGTAACGATAAACATCAGCGATGATAAATGTTTATTTCCTCTTGACTTGATTATTAAACCCTGCACACATTCCTTGAAAAAAATCACACTATATCCAACAAAGATGTACAATGAATATGTATAAATTAGAAATTACAATAAAGTTATTTTTAAAGGATTTTTTTTCTACAAATGAGCACAGTATTGAAGAAGTCAGCAAAAGGAGATAACTTCCTAGAAAATGTTTGCATGTGATGTTTTTAAAGTTGGCTGCTTAATCTGTGCATGCCACAATAGGAAGAGGACATGAAAAACCCAGGCATATATTACAAATGTCCCTCTGCTGTGGTTCCTTTGTGACCCAGTAAGGACCTAGAAAACTCTTCAGTGCAAGTGAAGAGAGTATTCCTGGCTTTTGCTCTGTTGAGGGCCTTTCTCAGAGTGCAACTCACATTACTTCCCTGGTTTCCTATATGTAAAGTGGGACAATTGGGGCTATAGGGATTATATATTTCTTTTCAAGCTGTCATTTGTGATTCCATGAGTCATGTTGAGTTTGGGGGCAAATTCTGAAGAATACCAACATAAAGGGAAGAGTTTGGGAGCAAAGAGAACACAGTTAGACTCTTACCTCTGTTTCTTACTAACTGAATAACTAGTTTTAGACTCAGATTTTCAACCTTCTTATCTTTAAATGGAGAAAATCCCAAATACTTGAACGTTGTCCAAAAAATACTACATATAAAGCGATTGGCACAGAGCCTGGAACATAGTGCAATAGTCACTTGATAAGTGGTAGCCGTGCCCCAAAGGGCAGGGGATGCACTATTTTCCACTATTCTTACAATTCCTCCAAATAATCCAAATAACATAGCAGTCTCTCTCTTTTTCCTCTCCTCCCTGAATTCTTACTCTTTCACATTTTCTTCTCTTTCATTTTAAAAACCTAGCTGTCCTGTGTTCCAATACTTCTCATGTGATCAATTATTTCTGTGGCAACTGAAAATCAGGTATGTTGGCAAAAGCAGGCATCTTTTAAAGACATTATTGCAAGTTAAGATAGATGTGATAAGAAGAAACATAGAAAAATAGATCATTGTAAAAAGATCATTGGAAAATAATAATATCTAAACTGATAGGAAATTCTGGATGCTAGCATATCCAGTGATAAAATTTGAAGGCAAAAACACTTTCCCTTTCCTTCTTTATAGCACATGGCATAGACAATCTTTCATTCTGCTTTTGCATTGCATGGTCTTCCTTCAACACAAAAGGACCAGCTGAGGAAAAATAAAAATGCAATGCTGGAAGATACAGAAAGTGAAGGGACCATGTCTGGGATCACTGAGTTCAGAACAGACCGACAATAGATTTCTCATTTGGTGCAACTGATGCTCCTATTACAGCTTCAAAGCTTCAAACCAAAAGGGTGTTATCTTTGCACCAAAGGCGTGTAGCAGTTTAGGGTGAGTCCTATCATTGACTGGAAACTTGCGAGGGGTGACCTTTTGTTCTACAATACTACATTGTTTTGGCCCAAATCCTGCAGGCGAATTTCCAAATGCATTACCTGGTTAGTATTTCATTTTTTCCTCTGAGATTCTTACCCTAGTTTGTTCCATTTCTTGATTCTTTTCCTGGTTCTTTATAACCTTCTACCTAGAGAACTTGTTTAAGTTTACTTATACTTGAAGTCATAGAATTATATCCTGGTATCTGGGTTGAAAGAGATATTTTCCAGCTAACTTCAATTATGTAGCTCTATCTAATGATTGTTTTTCCTGATCCACGGACTCGAACTTCTCTTTTGGTTTATGCCAATCTGAACTAAGCCTGAGTTTGTTATACTATTGGGTTTTGGAGAAAGTCCTAATGCATTTTTGCACAGAAAAATGTGTCATGACTTTCCCAACGACCTAACATTTTACTTAACATGTCATAGACCATTGACTATATCCATTTGCAAAAGAAATTTCTTCAATGTTCTATAGATGTTGTGGTAGAGATGGCAGGGAACTAGGAAGTGCAGATTTTAATCCCAAAGCTAACATTTATAAAGAGTTTAATTTCATCTATTTTACATAAAATATATGCATGTAAGCTTCACTATTTCTTTATCTGCATTATCTATTAGTAATTTTATGTTTGTTGCTTTAGTGTATACTCAATGGTGGCCATCAAGGCTGAGCATTTGTAACTATTCTTTCTGAAGTAGCATCAGCTATTGAATAATGTCCTGTTCAACTTCTTCTCTTGTCTCTTGGGTCTAAAACTGTAGTTGAGATCAACTTCTCACAATGCAGTTAATAGTACCTGGTGTTTAAAATGTGAGCCTTTTTATATAAAACTTATTTCAAGTTCTGAAACTTTGTAATCGGAGTGCATTGAGGTTAAGTCAACACTATGAAAGTGTTCCCTCCCCATGAACCTTGAGCTTATGTTGGGGAAGGGAGTACAACATATATGGAAGTGCTTTTTCCCCCCTCTATTAAATGGAAAAATTTGTCACCAACCTGAAAAGCATGACCTCCCACCCCTCATTCACACCAGGTTAAATAATTTCAAGACTTTCCATAGCAAGTTCGGCTCATGTATCACACAATGTCATGATCCCAAGGTCCACTGATCACTTTCTTTTACATCATCATCAATCATTTTAGGTTTTAATGCATTCTCTGATGAAATAAGTGATTACTTGGTTCAATATTTCTTTTGACTTATATAAACATTTCATTACTTGCTCTTAGTATGTGGGGTTGGCAATTTAGTTTGTGTGTGGGATGTTTCTTGGTGTAGATTGATTAAGGGATAATTCAATACTTTGTAGTAAGGATATACAGTAGAGAGCACCGTGTGGAGTTCCAACCCCATATTTGGACTTTACCTGTTGTGTGATTTGGAGCAAATAGAAAAACCCTCTACTAAAATTTTTCATCTGTAGTTTAGGGATATTGATATCTGCTTCACAGCTTACTTGTTAGGATGAAATGAGATAACGCATGTAAAATGCCTAGCATGATGTCTAGCATGTGTTCAATAAAAGTGATTACTTCTTGTTCCCCACCTCCTTTATTTTGGTCACTGAATTTTGAGTGCATTCTCATTAGTGGTCTATTCAAATTACATTGCTCCAAAATTCATTAGAAAGAAGGTTGTTCCTTGCAAACCAGGTATAAGACTCATTAGACCATGGAATTTTAGTCATCCCTGCTCAGAATTAGGGCTGTCTAAAGGAAGACCACATTATCGACAAATCTGCTGACTTCTGGATAATTAACCAAGTATAATGTACACATTTTAAAAAATAGCATTGTATTATATAGCCCTTACACTTGAGAACAGACTATATTGTATAATAGAATAATAGAATGGACTATAATAGAATGGACTATATTCAAAAACAAGTTTCTGGGAACCAGCAGTTAGCATAATGGCTATGTCGATGGACTCCCACGTAGTTGACTGCGATTCGCGTCCTGGACCCAGTGGCTTAAAACTCACGCCGGGTGCGTGTGCGTGCGTGCCCAAGATCCCGAGAGGAGAATGGAGAAGAAGGGACTGCAGCGTGACCATCCCCCCCTGGGGGTTGATTTCTCACCTTTTGTCTCTATGTCTCTCTCTCTGTCTGGCAAGCGCACGTGCCCTATAGTGAAAACCTCTCCAAAAAAAAAAAAGTTTCTTTTTTTTAAACTATGCTATCCATACTTTTAAAAAGAGTTATTTGCACCCAGCCTTGGCAAGGCTTGA